TATATATAGTAACATGTCGTTGGCATATAGTGACACTTTTACCTCTTCTTTTCCAATTTGGATCCCTTTTATTTCTCTCTCTTGCCTGACTGCTGTAAGAATTATCTTTCTGTAACACAGATTTGCACATTTAGTTGGGTGCTGGTAAATGTGAAACAGCCAGATTGCCAGGCTCGGATGGGGTGGTGGAGAGAGGAGCCCAGATGTAATGTTTGCCCATATCCGTGGTGTAAATACCCCCACCGTGGCCAAATGCATGCTATCACCGTGATGGCAATCACCTTGCAACATTCTTGAAAATTTACCACTTGGCTCTTGTGAACTGGCCTCAGCCGGCTCCAACACAGCACTTTGAGCACATGCCAATTCTCTATCGGGTTCTAGAAAACCTTCAATATTGTGCTTTGCACAAAGGATAAGATCCAAATACTTCAGCACAAACCGAGGTGGCAGCAGTGAGGCGGGGGAAGTTGTTGGGTTCAGGATGTGTTTGAAGGGACAGCCGGTGAGATTTGTTGATGGATTGCTTGTGAAGTGGAGTTGGGTGTGACTCCAGGGTTTTTAGTTTGAGCAAGTGGAGGAGTGGAATTGTCATTTACAAAAGTGGGAAGGAATGGGTTTGGAGGAGGAAACTAGGCTGGTGTTGGACAGCTGAAGGCCAGGATACCTGTTCGACATCCCAGTGGTGATGTCCAGTTGGTAGCTGGCTCTGTAATTCTGGAGTTCCAGTACAAGGTCTGGGTTAGAGATATGAATCCTTACTGTGTTTCTGTCCCACTACCCTTCTTTCTGTTCTTTGAACCAGTGAGTCTCATTGTTCCTTCTGCCTAAAGCCAGAGGTCTTTGAATGAAAGTGTCTTTTTTTTTTTGATGGGGTGGTGGTAATTAGGTTTATTGGTTTGTTTATTTATTTGTTTGTTTATTTTAATGGAGGTACTGGGGATTGAACCACTGAACTATACCTTTACCGCCCCCCCACCCCCAAAATTTATTTTATTTTTCGAGTTTAGTCTCTCTCTCTCCCCACTAGAATAAGCACAAGGACATCAGGGACAATGTCTGTCTTATTTTCTGCTGTATACTCAGTGCCTCGGACAGTGCCTGGCACCAAGTAGGTGCCCAGAAATTATGCACTGAATGAATGGAATGAACAATAAGCCAGTTTAGATGTCACTTATTTTGTATGACCTTCCTTGGCTAGCCCAGAAAGGTTGTTGGGTTCCTTCGGCACTTCGTATACATACGTCCTCATCCACATATATCCATCTTTTAGTCTGTTTGGGGCCCTATAACACAATACCCCAGGCTGGACAGCTTATTAAAAACACAAATTGGTCTCTGAGTTCTGGAAGCTAGGAGTAGGCGATCAGGGCACCAGTGTGGCTGGGTGAGGGCCCTCTTCCAGGTCGCAGACTTCTTGTATCCTCACAAAGGAGCTCGTGGGGTCTCTTTATAAGAGCATTAAGCTCCTGCATGAGGGTTCGATTCTCCTGACCCAAGCATCTCCCAGTGGCTCCACCTCCTAACACCATCACCATCAGAGAGGGCATTAGGATTTCAACATACAAATTTTAGGGAGACACAGACATGCAGACCATGGCACCCCACAAGCATCCACACACGTCTATAATCTATTATAGCCCTTCCTTCGTTGTGTTTATTCCTTTACTTGTTTGTACCTTCAGTAGGCCAGGAACTGGAGGCCAGGACAGTGTTTTCCTCATGTCTGTTGAGCCTATGCCCTGTGCCAAGCAGTGTAATAAAAACTGGAGATGAAATGGTGGCTGAGAGACCTAGTCCTGCTCTCAGGAGACAGACGTTACATAAACAGCCACAGCAAGCAGGACAGATGCTCTGACGGGTGAGGCACATGTCACAGAGGAGCACACAAGAAAGGAACTAACCGAGTCCAGGCCAAGGGGAGGCCTAGGGAGAAAGGGGACCTTTGAGCTGACAGTTGGAGGATGAGGCATTAGTCTGGCCGCTGTGGAGACGTGGGGAGGAGGCATTCCAGGCGGAAGGTCCAGGGAGTGCAAGAGGCCTGGAGGCAAGAGGGGTGGATAGCTGTTCCCAGTGACTGGGGAGAACTGTGGGAGGTGAGGCTGGGTGGCTGTGAGGGGGCAGGTCATGGGCCACAGAGCTCTGCAGCTGTGTTGGGGAGTTTGGACTATCTGAGGAACAAGTTGGGGGGCAATGAAGTATTTAAGCAGGATGATGACATATTCAGTGTCGGTTTTGAAGGCTCCCTTTGGCTGGAGCATAGCAAGTGATGGGAGACCAGTTAGGAGGTAGTTGCAGTAATCCAGGAGAGAAAACAAGGTGACTCCAGGACGAAGACGTGAATTATTGGAGAAATTTAAGGGGCAAAGTCAATAGAGTAAGATTCCTGGGTTTCTGGCTTGAGCCACTGGATACATAGTGGTTTCTGTTACTGAGATGTGTACAGTGGGAAGAGGAGTAAGTTTGGGTAAGGCAGATGGTGATTTTGGTTTTGAATGTGATGGTTTTAGTGGCTGTAGGCATCCAAGTCGAGCTATCTGAGGAGGCTGTGGGATCGCTGGGTCTGGAGCTCAGGAGAGA